TCTCAGCATTGAAGGCCATCTGGCTTTGGTCAGTTCACCTTGAGAGCATGTCCAAGTCGGCCTGTATTCCCAGCCTGTCCTGCAGTGTGACCGCCATTCCCCATAATTTGGTGTCATCTGTGACCTTTGCCAGTTTGCATCTGACTTCTGACTCCAGATCATTAATGAAGATGTTAAAGAGTACCAGCCCAAGTACCAAGCCCTGAGGGACTCCACTGCTCACCCTGTGCCATGTTGATTTGCTCCCATCAACTAGTACTCTTTGGGTCCAACCCCAGCTAGCCATCGGACTGTAAGATGATCAAGGCCACAGTTCTCCAGCTTAGCCACGAGAACATCGTGGGAAACTAGGTCAAAGGCTTTCTTGAAATCCAGATATATGACATCCACGTCATCTCCCTTGTCCAGGGCTTGTGTCACCTGGTCATAGAAGGAGATGAGGTTGGTCAGGCAAGATCTGCCAGTCACAAAGCCATGTTGGCTGGCCTTCAGAGGCTTGCCATCTGTTGGGTCTGGTGTTGATGGATCCCTTGACAATTTTCTCCAGGATTTTTCCAGGGATGGCCATCAGACTGATTGGTCTATAATTCCCTGGGTCATCCCTCCTCCCTTTCTTGAAGATAGGGACCACGCTGGCTCTTTTCCAGTCTTCCGCGACCTCGCCTGAGTGCCATGAATTTTCAAATATCTTTGCTAAGGGGGATGCAATGATGTCTGCCAGCTCCTTCAAGACTCCCGGATGCATTCCGTCTGGGCCTACAGACTTGTGAATGTCCAGATTCTCAAGGCGTTCCTTCACCTGATTCACATCAATTTTGGTCCTGACACCTGCTTCCAGGCTGGTTTGTGTCCTTTCTGACAGTGTGATCCCCTTGGGAGGGTGAAAACCCGATGCGAAAAAATCATTTAGGAGATTTTTTCTTGACTGTCAGATGTCAGCTGCCCTGTTTGATCCCACAGGAGCCCAATGTTATCTTTGTTCTTTTTTTGACTTCCCACATATCTGAAGAAGGACTTTTTGTTGTCCTTGATCCCCAAAGCTAGCCTGAGTTCGGTTTGTGCCCTGGCTTTTCTGGACCGCTCCCTACAGGTGCGGGCAGGTGCTGAGCTTCCCATTTTCCATTTTGGTGATGCTTCCCATTTTCCAACTGCAGTAAGCTTCTCTTTTGAGTTTAATGAGGTCCAACAGTTCCTTGTTCAGCCAAGGGAGCGTCCTTGCCCGTTTATTACATTTCATGCGAGATGGAATGACTTTCCCCTGTGCCTCAAGGATTATGTTTTAGATGGGTGAATGTTTAAGATGGGTGACCAAAAGCACCTAACTTTATGCTCTGTCTGCACTGGCCCCCTATAGCTTTCCAGGCACAATTCAAAGTGCTGGTTTTGACCTACAAGGCCCTAAATGGCCTGAGCCATACATGCCTAAGGACCACCTTCTCCCTTATGCCTACTGAGGACAACCTCCTACAAATACATTCAGCACACTAAATCCTCTTGGTGAAAAAGCATTGGGGATCATGTTCTGCAGCTGCACCTCAGCTCTACAACTCCCTCTGTTATGAGACTTGTCAGAGCCCAAGCTTGCACTGCTTCCAAAAGATGTCCAAGACCTTCCTATATGAGCAGGAAAAACCAGGAGAAGATTTTGTTTAGGGGGGGAGGGTCTCTGTCTTATCTTGATGTTCTAATTCTTTTAAGTTGTTTTGGTCCTCTTGCCACTCTCCTATTTTGTTTTCTTATGGTAAGCCATCCTGAGACTTCGCAGAATAGAATGGTTAGAGATGTTTCCTCTGGCATCTCTAAACCAATAAATGGTAGATGCCAAGGAATGAACTGAATAAGGAATAGATCAGGAGTCAGTAATGTTTTTGGCAAAGGTGCCGAACACCCCAACCTCTACCCATGACTTGACTTTGCATACAAGAGGCAGACGGCGCAGGACCTGCAAGGGCCCAAATCCTAGTTGCTGGTGGTGAGTGCATGTGTTCCTCCAGGCAAACAGCGGAGGAGAGGCCAGACCTGCACTGCCCCAGGCCCCTTCCCAGCCGCGCGCCCTGAGGTGCACGTGCAACTGCTACTATGCTGGCACCAGGGCTCCAGACCCCAGTGCCCCATCCAGGCTCCATGGCGGTGGTGGCTACATGCATGCCTCAGTACACATGCCAGGGCAGTGCGACCCTGATCCCTCCCCCACCATCCAACTGAGGCACACGTGCAGCCTCCACTACCACGGAGGCTGCCTGGGGTTCTGGATGTAAGTGCAGCTGTTTGCAGCCTTCCAGCTGCCTGCCACAGCTGGCCTGGGCTCTGGACAGCTGCTTCCTACCACAGAGTCCAGGCTGCTTGCAGCCTCCTGTCCACCTGCTGCAAGCAGCCTGTGCTCCACAGCTGGCAGCAGCTGCCCAGAGCCTGGACCACCCATGGCATGCCAAGTAAAATGGCCTCATATACCATACTCTGGCGCACGTGCTAAGGGTTGCTACCCCCTGGAATAAATCACTCTAGAGGAGTGGTTTTCAACTTTCTTGTATTTGCGGACTCCTAAAAAATTTTGAATGGAGGTGTGGACCCCTTTGAATTGTAAATGTGGCAATTCACATACTTTTGATTGATCATAGTTATTATTTGTGGACCCCACAGACAGTCTGATCACAGGTTGAAAACCACTGGTCTACAGATATCCAGTTCAACGCTCTCCCTCTATAACATTCACTTCTGCCACTGCCAGAGAAAGGATACTGGGCTAGATGACCTATTAGTCTGACACAATATGGCACTTCTTATGGTCTTATGTTGGGAAGAGCAGCATCTAAATTGAACGAACAAGCAGTGTCTCCTTACTCTAATATTAAAACCTCCAACTATGTGCATTAGAACTTCTACAGTGCAGTCTTAGTCCGCCTGGCCCAGCCCAGTGTGGGTAGGAGCTGCCTCAGTCCCACAGGGCTGAGCAAGTCCTGGGGAAGAGGCGGTGGTGGGCCCGTCCTGCCTGGACCCAAAGCCTCCATCTTGCAGGCAGCACTGTGAGCAGGCAGGCAAGACTATTGGTGTTGCACAGGCAAGTGGGGCACCACAGCTCCCTGCTGCTGAGCCCTACCCATTGTACCTGGGGTTGTGTGGGTGGGCTGGGGAGCCGGGCAGCTGTGGCACAGGTGGGTTGTGAAGTTTTTATAGTATGGGGGGGGGCCCTCAGGAAAAAACAGGTTGAAAATTCCTGCAGTAATTGACAATTTTATTCATTAAAGATGTACATTTTTCAATTTAAATAAGACTAGCAAAAGTGTTGAATGTACCATAAAATCCAGAGATACTAAAACAGTGTTTTTGATGGGAACCTACCATAAGGCTTCCATTCAGCCCATCTGAATAAAATATATTGCACTGCGCATCACACACAGTGCCCCTCAGCACAAACTTTTTTTCAAATCATGGTGAATTGAATACTTTTCAACTTCCTCTTCACTTCCACAGCTAAGCCGTGCTTTTCTTTCCCATTTCCAATGATTCCTGTTTCTTCATTTGCCTTAAATGACTGGCACCCATCATTGAACAGGGCCAAAATAGTTCGCCCATGATCCCTCTGTCTCACCATCACTCAGCCTGTTGCATACAATTAGTGTGGCTCCATGCGGTGAAGCTGGATCAGACTGCCCTGTGCCTCATCTGCAAATAAATTTTGGCGGAACCCAGGACTCATGACAAAAACACCCAGTTCCAGTCATAAATGGGTGACCAATTGGCAGATGGATCCTTTGCAGTGGTTATCTGGAGTACACACATACACTGACGACTGCTGAGACATGGGGTACCATAGTTTGAAATGCTGTTTGCTCTGCTGTAGCCCCTTTTGGTTTTAGACTAATATTATGCATAGGGGAAACATCATGCATCTGGGACCAAGAAGGCAGTTTTCCTTAAGCCTTACCGGGGATGACTGTTCTTCTGGAGTGGTTTAGTACCTGCTGAGGTGCTGGGGCTTAATGCCCATTTTATGGAAATGGGAGGCTCTTCCCTAGCTTGCTCCTACAGCCATATGGCTGAGGGCAGGTGAAACTTGGAGGCATCTGAACCCCAAGCCTCTGGGCTTGGGCCTGCATGTAAGATGCCTGCCAAAAGATGTTAGAAATATCTGGTGGGGGTGAAGGATGTTTGCTGGTTGTAGGGTCACTTATGGTTCTGGACTGACTCATGGATTTGGACTTCGATTTGGCTTGGAACACAAAAATTAAAAAAAAAAAAAAAAAGGTTTGTACTACATATAAGTAGGTATAAAACAGCTGCTTAAAAGTGTATTATGGAGTACTTGTGCTAAAACTTGTAATAGTTTCAAAGAAGGTAAAATGCATCAATTCTAAATATATTAAGTCTATGAGTGCCTGTAGTAATTTGCATGTTTATTTCAAGGTCAGGGTTTTCAAATTTGCTCATTTCCAGGTGCCCAGGGAGAACAGGGTCTGACACTAAGGGGAAGGGGGAGGGGGGGTAGGAGGGGCTGCAATGAGGAAGAAGCTGGTGGTGGGGCAGAAGGCAAGGGGGCTACCAGACCACCCAGATTTATTTTCCCTGATGTATCAGTGGGAGGGGGACAAATTCAAGCAAACTTCCAATAATTGAAATTCTACACCTAGAAAATTATAACAAATTTATATGTTTTCCATATATAGAATCTATTTATTTGGGGGGGGGGGGGGTTTTTTTTTTTTTAGGGTAATTTTACATTCAAGTAAATATGGTAATTGGGAAAAAATGTTGTGTTTAAGAGAATACTTTATCCCTGGCTGAAGTCAATACTGTGTGTAAAAAAAAGAAGATAAATCGTAGTCCTCAAATCCTGGTCTTACTATCTGAAGAACAAATGTATGAAACCTTAAAAGAAAAGGAATCTTAAACAGGTATTATAACTCACTGAAAACTTGTTTTCAGCATCCCAATTTAAAAGGACTGATAGCCCTTCTTTTAGCTGTCTCCTGATAGCAGAATATCAAATTATTTGCTTTCAGATTTGCCCACTTGTCTGCTGTGTGTGTGTTTAAGTGGTTCAGTATACTGTGAAGAAACTGACATTGAATCTGTTCCCCCTCTGCCAAAGGAAACAGCCTACCTTTATGCACGATTCAATAAAATAAAGAAGGTGGTAGTCTCAGATTTTGCTGATATTCGTAAGTAATTATTTAAAATTTAAATCTTGTGGTTAAACTGATATTAACTAACATTTAAAGTTCAAATATTTTCTAGGCTGAAAGATGAAACGACTAGAGAATTTGTCAACTGGTAGCAATACCAAAAGAGAGGAGTTCTTATGATCTATTTTTGGGAGGGGAGTGTTGCTTTTTGTTTTATTATTTTTTACTTCAATGACCAATATTTGGAAAGACTTTGAAGAATCAGATCTTGTAGTTAGTCACCAAACAGAGGATAGAAACAACATCCAGGATTACCTGTGTTCAATCAAAGCTAACACATACAGCATGAATTATTGATCATAGGTTGTAATATGCTGCCAACAACACTCGAACAAAGAACCGTTTGTAGGAAGAGCTCATTAAATTACTTTAAACAAAAAATATGTTTAGTGAAATCATAAACTGTACACACACTGAAGAAAAAAGGAGGCCCTAATTCAGGGGTGGACAGAGTTACTCACCCTGGAAGCTACATCCGATCCTTCACTGAAGTTCAAGAGCTGGATGGGGGAGGGAAGTGTTCTGAGCAACCGAGAGCGAAGGTGACCACCCCGCCACCTTCCCTCTAGTCCTGCCAGCAGCCACTGGGTCCTTGCCACAGGACTGGGGTCCTTGCTCCACAGCACTGAGCTGCTCCGGCTTTCCCCTCGGGGGGGCACACCGCAGGGTAAGCAGCACGGTTGCAGCCCCTGCCCCGGCATCCAGCACCTGAGCTGGTAGTCCCAAAGGGGAGAAGTCGGTGTGGCTTATCCACTCTGCCCCAGTAATAAATAAAATGATAATAAACACCTACTTCTTCATACGTAAATACATTACGTAAAATTAAATTAGAAATATTTCAGCATTGCAGATTTAACAATCAAAATGGTAGAAGGTACCAGAATTATGGTTGACTGTGTAAAGTTAATCCAGAACCCTTCGCCATACATGTAACACAGTACAATTTTATGCTGCTGCCAGGTGCCTCATTCAACCCTGTATGCAACACAGTGAATGGGCAGTTTCTCAGGTGGTGGGCAGCTCCACAATATAGGACAGCTCCATGCCTTATTAACTGCATATCAGTGTTTAAATGGTGTGAATACAGTTATTAATTTCATTCTAAGCTTTTCTATGGCACTCTTCACTATAGAGTAGTCCAGAAGGCAGATTGATTAGACCTGCATAACTATGGGAGGTAAGATAGTGATATTTCCACCTTTTATGCAAGAAACTGAGACAAAAGTGTGAAAAACTGTCAAATGTCTACTAGCTTGGCGTGTCTAAACAAACACTGAAGGCCTGAATTTTTACATAAGACTTTATGTGCAGAGCAACAGCCCTACTCACTTCAGTGGCAAATGCTCAAAATTTCTATAAACTGGGCCCAATGTGAAAAATGGTGCAAATTACTTGACTGGGACACCACACAGGAAGTTAGTAGGAGAAAAAAAAATAGAACTTAGAGGCACTTACACACATGCAGAGAGCCTGCTCCAACACGCTGGAAATTCAGCATGAAAATTGATGCAATCTGACAGTCACACGCATCATGTGTATCAGTGGCACAGCACATTTCCGTGTAGCAAAAATGGCGGCAGTGCACTTTGAAATAAAACATGTTTGATGTGCTTTCGTTCAAAGCACCCCACCGTCATTTTCTCAGCACAGCAATCTGCCGTGCCACTGATACATGTGCCATGCAGGTGCTTTTAATTAGCACAGCTTGCTAATTAGAAGTGCCCAGTGCCTCCTTGGGAACACATGTAAAAATGCCCTTGTTTTCCAGGTTGATTTTCACCTGACTTAAAACCATGAACCCTTCCTTTTATCTTTTTGCTGACCTCTGCTTCAATTCACTACACACCTTTCCATTTCTACAAGTGAAGCAGGAGTCCTACAGAAAGCAGAAACATTTTTTATGCCACCACAAAGCACCATCCATTGAGTACAAAGGATATGAAGTTTATAACAAACTGAGAACAGCAACTTTTTAATTAAAAGTGTTGAGGAAACTGCACTTGTAGTGATGGTATGTTATGCCTTTGTTTTATTTTACTAACAAAAAAATAAAAATCAATACTTAGATTTTTTTTCTTTGTAGCTACCTTAAAGAGAATTGATTTTACTGGAAATATGATAGAAGTAATTGAAGATGGAACTTTTTCAAAACTTCTGTTATTAGAGGAACTTTCACTTGCTGAAAATAAGCTTGTAAAGCTTCCAGTTCTGCCTCCTAAGCTAATTACGTTTAATGCAAACCACAACAGAATTAAGAGCAGAGGAATCAAAGCAAATGCTTTCAAGGTAAACAGAAATGATAAAAACTGGAGTAACTGAAATAATGTAAAACAATATCTATAGTAGTCTAGTCATTATGGTATTAAATTTTGTTTATTCTTATTTTTAAAAAAACTAAGTATAAGTGTAAGAATTTTTTTTTCAGAGTCTTAGAATACTACACTTTAAAGGCATTACCTTCATTAGTCTCAAACCACCACTTAGAAATGCTAGCACCTAGTTTTGTGTCATATTTTTTACTATGGAAAAATAAACAGAACAATTCTTCTGTTGCAAAGAAACAGAAAGTTCACAATAGATCAGAATGTTTTTGTCACTGGATTCCCATTCGAAATCTCTAAAATATCTTGTGAATAATGTGCAGGTATTTGCAAGTAACTACTGTGTAACACTTCACTCTCTAGGAGATCTTGCCTCATTCTGGTTGCGGATCACTTCATTATAGAATAATATCAGTTGTATCAATTGCTTAATAACATCAACTGATTACGGGTGCATATGAGTTCCCATATTAAGCCTACTCTTTCCCCCTCCACAGTTCTAGACCTAGGCAAACAACCCTCCACAGTTCTAAGACCTAGGCAAACAAGTATTATTTGCTTCCAAACTGATGTCAGATCTGATAATCCTTAACCTTTCATTAGTATTCCACAATTGGTATTCCATAAACTAATTAAGAAAAATGGTTGGCTGTCATCATCACGGAGTAGACTGGGTAACGTGATTGAGAAGAAACTTATCTTTTTGTGATTTTTAACTCGGTCTTAGAAGATAATACTCAAATGACTAGCACACATATGTATGCAGCTCAAACTTTCATATGGGAATAATTCTGCAGTTGTGGAAAGCTATTGCATTTATTCATTATGAGTTACAGTAATATTTTATAAATGAACAATACAGGGCTTGATTTGATTCTAAGTGAGTACTCACATATCGCCTTGATGACACAGCAACCAAGGAAAATATGCTGACAGGGGCCAAAATGAGAGGACTTGCAGTGTAAGGCTCAGTAAACGTATCACGATCCCTTTTTATACTAGGTTATGATTGCACTGCCTTTAGTTTAGGAAAGGGGTAGCTCAAGTATTCAACTACATATAATCAGATATTTATATGGTCGCACAGAGAGAAAAAAAACACATCTTAAGATTCATAGAGTACCATCCATCACAACAAAAAATATTTAATGAGAAAGTAAATTTATGGGATTTTAAACCATCTCCAAGTTACTACCTTTTCATTTTGAATAATCACTTGGTTTGAATGTTCAAACCAAGAAAATCACAATTGTCTCAAATTGTTTAAAGCAAGTTCAAGTTTTACACAGAACTTTTTATTAAAAATGTTTCAAAACAAATGGAAATGCATGTTACAGAAAATGCTTAATATGTTAGTATGTTTTGTATTATGCGTAGTACTTTCAGTAAAAGAAGTTTCATGCTGGATACCTTTATGAACATTCATTAGGAATGCACGGATAGGGATTTTTGAGGCTGATACCAATAGCCGATGTTTAAGGAGGCATATCGTCCGATACCGATCCAATAGAGCTGCCTCCAGGTGGTAAGTCCAGTGTAGTGGAAGGGAAGAGGGGAGGGAAGGGGCATGGGAGGGGAGCAGATGAATGCCCCCCACAATGAGGGAGGGGACAGGGGCAGAGGCAGGTGCTACTCAGGGGGATGGAGAGGGGCGTGGGATGGAGGTGCGTCTCGTGGTGTGTGGGAAGCTCTTTCCACTGCTTGCACCCCAGGAGGGCAGGGGGGCATATACCCCTGGATCTGCATGGTGGCAGCTACAGGGTGGAGCCGGAGCTGGCACTGTGCAGGGGGCTGGGCTCAGAGTGGACTCTAGGAGGGGTTGCAGCCACCCCAAATTTTGCCACAGCTCTGCTCCCGGTCCCGTGCCACTGCCCGGCGCAGCCCTGGCTTTTCCCAGCGCTTGGATGGAGGTGGGGCATTCAGCCAGGGTTGAGCTGGGCAGTGGCACAGGGCTGGGAACAGAGACGTGGCAAAATCTGGGGTGGCTGCAGCCTCCTCCCAGTGCCGCTGGAGCCTGCTCCAAGCCCAGCCCCCAGCGCGAAGAGCCACACAGTGCCGGCTCCAGGTCTACCCTGTAGCTGCTGCCCGCTCCGCGCTGCACAGATCCGGGGGCACACGCTCCCCCACCCTCCCGAGGTGCAAGCAGCAGTGGGAGCTGTCTCCCCCCATGAGCTGCAGCCCCGTCTTGCGCCCCACCCAACCCGTCTGCCTGCCCCTGCCCTCTCCCTCACCACGGGGGGGCGGGGGTGATCTGCCCCGCCACGCCCCTTCCCTCCCCCCCTCCCTTCCGACTTACTAGCTGGAGGCAGCCCCTTCCCTCCCACGCTGCCGGCTCTGCTCTGTGCTACACTGTGGCTGCACACAGCACAGGGCCAATATCCAATATAGACAATTTTCTTCATGTCGGTACCGATCTGGTATCGGATCGAAGTACTGGTGCACCTCTAACATTTATTGACTAAAATTATAGATTCAGAAGTAAATAATGAAATCTTTATTACTAGACAGGAACATGAGTTATTAAACTGCTAACAGAATAATCAAGACAACTCATGCTAACATATTTCCTCACACCTCTTTCCTACAGAAGCTGACCAATTTGTCACACCTCTATCTAGGACATAATGCACTAGATTCTGTACCTCTAAATCTACCAGAGAGCCTGTGTATTCTGCACCTTCAGGTATTCTCAAAATATTCCTGTTATTATAATGCAAAGAGTATGACTAATAATTTAATTTAAATTCAACCCTATGTAGCTTTTATATAGGTTCTGAAGGTGTAATAAATTCAGACTAACCTTGTTTTGTTCTTGCAGTTTAACAACATAACTACAATCAAAGATGATACTTTCTGCAAATCTAACAACACACGTTATGTCCATCCACACATGGAAGAGATAAGAATGGAAGGCAATCCAATCATCTTGGGAAAGCATCCTAATGCTTTTTCCTGCTTGAGAACGCTGCCTACAGGAGCATACTACTAACCACTGCCTACTCAATTATATATGCTATAAACTTAAGTATGATAACAGAAGATCATTTTTGTTTCTGAGTTTAAATGGTTGCATCCTCTCCCTTTTTAACAGTGTTTCTCTACGTACTCAAAGAATATTTAACCATAATATAAATGTATTCTAGTCTGGAAACTAACTATGTAAAAATGCACTTTTTGCTTACCATTCCCAATACCACACATGTTCAAAATCGTATGGTTTTGACAGTGTAAAAAATAGTCTGCAACTTGCAATTCCTAGGTTTGCAAACATTCTTTATTCAGAGGTAGAGCTATACAAAAATATTGTTTGTATTTTTTCCAGGCTTGGCAGCAACCTGAAAAGTTTTGATTTCAGGTTGACACAAAAGAAAACTTCCAAGAAAGTGTCTAAATGCAACATTTTCAGTCATTTCAGAAATTTTTTCCAGCAAAACTGATGCAAATCTTTCAGTTGAAAACAGTTTCTTAACTGAAGAACTTTATCAAGCTCTATTTAGAGATATCATTCCTTTCAGTTAAATGTTTTAGTAGTAATACTCCTGTGACTATAGGTTGTGGGTTACTTTTAAGTTTGAATTACTTTATTCTTATTAGCGCTGTAGAGCCAACATAGTAAAAAGAATGGTATCCTGGCCTGTGCATCAGCACATTTGTTGACCTAATTCCAGGCACCAGCACAACCCTGTTTTCAATTAGCCACATTAGGATTACAATGGTATAAGAACACACAGACTCTCATAATGAACCATCTTTAATACTGATTAAAATACATTAACTTGACAGAGCATTATTTTGCTAAGGATTTCCTTTGATTTCATTTCAGGAAAAGTAGTTGAGCTTAAATAAGGTTTAAGTAAGCACAGAAGTACTATTGTTTTTAATTTTGTAAATAAAATATGTTGCTAAGGAATTCACTGAGAAGAAACAAAAAGATTTTTTACAAGAGTCACTCTTCAGAGTAAATTTTTTTTTCAATTATTTGAAAACTGCAAAAATACTTTGAATAAAAATCAAAGTTGATTTTATTATCAAGTACAGAACCACGTTTAAAAAAGTAACGTGAAATTTAATTAACACCATTTAACCCTCAATTACTTTAAGACCTAGGCACTACCTCTCATATTAACGATCAGGACTTCTGACAGTCAGCTCTCATTAAAGCAGAGATAATACCCTAGAGATATTAACTCTAACAACATTAATACACATGTTCAAATATTTTTTTCTTTCAAGTGATTTGTTGTTTGTTTTAATAAAAATCTGGAGTGAGCTCATATGGCTTAATTGCTTCAGAAATATGAATGCCAAAACAAAAAAAAAAAGCTACATGGTTAGTACAAGACTTTCCTAGGCAAGAGATAAACATAAGAAGCTTGATGAAACATAAGAAGTTCTAAATTCCCTAATAATATAATAACTAGCTTAAGATCTTTATTAGTATAGTTATTTTAACTTCAGGCTTATAATGCAAGATTTAGGGGGGCTGGTATTTCTAAAACTTATTAGTAACTTTTTAATTTTACATTTAGTAAAACAATACATCACTGTGCTGTGGGGCATTAAAAACTGGACAGTGAATGCTGTCAAGTGTCCCTTAAATGCCTCCGATACCTCCGTATTTACCTGAATCTAAGATGACTTTGAGTTTAAGATAACCCCTCAATAATTACATTCTAAACCTGGAAAATTGTAAATTTGTTATAATTTTCCACCTCTAGAATTTAATTATTGGAGGTTGTCTTTAATCTGTCCCCCTTACTGCTATGCCATAAAAGCTGTGGCAAACAACAGGAAAAGCAGAGCTGGGGTAGAAGCAGGGGTACGGGAGGCAAGCTACCTGCCCCCACCCGTTGCCCCCCTGGTGCCTGCCCCCTCACCCCTTTCCTACCCCTTGTTTCCCCCCACCTACCTCCCCCTTACCCCTGCGCCTGCTACAGCTGAGTTAGACTCCAGCTAGGAGCCATGAAGGGCAGCTCCACAGGGAGCCCAGCTGGCTGGAGACCACAGCAGCAGCATGCAGATTCCTCCTTCCCTGCCTGACTCCCTGTCAGCAAGGCCGACAGACAAGGGGAGGCAGGAAGTGGGGCTGGGCAGACGTTGGAAACAGTAATCTATATGCTGCTAATGCTGTTCCTACCCCAGCTGGGCTCCCTGCACAGCCACTTCTCACAGCTCCCAAGTGTGATACTTTAGTCTAAGAAGAGGCTTTGTTTTCCTCATGATGAATGGGGGTGGGGAAGGACAACCTTGTCAAGTAAAGTCAAGTAAATACAGTATGACTATGAACATGTGAGTACAGAAATCTAACAGACTTTTTAGTAGTGTCCAAATCAAAAACGTTATTTGGGTTGGTATGTTCTCCTGAAAGAAAAACATGGTTAGAATAGTTTTAAACATGGAAAGCCACAGGATCTTTATGCCTCTGCTCTGTAATTTAAAGTAAACTTAGTACCAGTTTAAATTCTCTACTTTTAAACATGAATTTATCAGTCTACTATGCCTTTAATAAGTTTAGAGAGTTAGTGTCTAAACGTTGTATTACCACTTTCTATTTAAATATATTAATGACTCATGAAACGCTGATGCTTTAATATTTTTGTCCCATGTAAAAATATTTAAAATAATTCCACAGCAAATGAAATTAAATTCAAAGTTCAAGTCAAAGTGATACCAAGAGGAAAAAGGAAACAAACAATCAAACAAACAAACACTATAAGGACACTCTTTTCTCCTTATAATGTCAATTGCTTAAGATGAAGAAAACTCAAATAAACAATAGCCAGTGTACAATACTGTTGCATGTGTAGTATCCCAGATCTTGCCCTCATTATAAATCATTAATAATAAACAAAGTTTTCAATAAGACCAAAAATGATTACAAATGGTCTTTACACTGCTTTCCTAGGATAATATCATTTTTATATATTAGAAAGCTATATTAAAATTACACTTCAACTGCCATTAAAAGCTTAATTTATAAAATGTACTAGATATTAGCAGTTATGCTGATTTCAATTAAAGGCAAGTGATATTCTCTGAAAACCATAAAAGTGCATTAATAATGCACAATAATTAATTTATCCATCCCACCTAATAGTAGTTTAGCTCTCCAGATCCCTTAAATAATATTAATATGGCTGTAAAATGAAGGGATTTTAAAAGATGTGTTAATAAATAAAATCTGCATCGCAAGCTTACTTCCTTCATTAGTAATCATATCTTATGAAGCTGAATATGGATTTCTTGCCCTACTGATTTTTTTAAAATGAAAGTTTAAATTACTGTTCTCTTATCAGTTCACTAGCATCAGTTAAAATGTATCAGCAGAGCTCCCAAAGCAGATCTGATTATTTAAAATTTTACAAGTCTACATTAGCATATTATGAATTTATGCCATCCATGTTGCTGCACTGGTGAAAATCCCTAATGTAGACGTACTTCATTGCTACTAGGGGACGGCAGGAGTATAAATCAATTGGTTTAACTACCAATAATACAGTATTAACCCCAACAAATAAAAGGTAATGTACAAGACACCTCCTCACCCCTTCTGATTATACATGTGACATTTTTGCGGAGCATGGGCAGAAGTAGGTATAAAAAAAGTCAGTGCTATTTTTTAATTTTTCCTTTTATAACCTAGGAAAACTAATTCTACAAGGTTACAGTACTGTTATAATTTTTAAACTATAATGCTTAGCAGTTTCATTAAAAAAAATGGACCTACCTGTTTATCATATCTATTTATATATCTTGACTTCTAGAGAAGTCAGCCAAAGACATTTTGGGGTTATTGCTCATTGCTTGCTTTAAAATTATAGGTAACTATATAAACTGCGACCGAGATGTGACTTATAAAATCTAGCACAACCATCAATCCTTAAATTACTACAGTTTTTACATGCAGTTCATCGCCTGTATAAAATGCATTTATAGCAACATTTTTGCACTCGAGGGAGAAAGTGTTTCCAAAAGTGTTAAACCTCTCTCACAAATATAGTTAGTCCAATAAAACATATAACAAAAACACTTTTCCTAACAGAAATCAAATGTGTTTCAATTTAGTTAACAAAATCATTACACCTCTTAAAGCAGAAAGTTCTACGAAAGAACAAAAACCAAGTGTGGCTGCTACACATCTCAAAGAAAGTCTTAGTATGGAGAGGCAAGGATTTCTTAGGGTGATGTCTTTTATTAGACCAGCTATGTAGCTGGGATAGTATTAAATGAGCTTTCAAATGCAAGACATTCTTCCTCAGTTCTCTGATCACAGGGAACTAGGCACGGCATAGTCACTATGGCTCTCTGTAATCAGACCTGAGGAAGAATGTCTTTTATTTGAAAGTTTGTCTAAGTCTATCCAAACAACACAGTTGGTCCAATAAAAGATTACCAACCTAAGAAATCGTTGCCTCACACAGAATTTCTGGACCACTACAGCTACAATATTACTTTTACATTACCATTGGCATGAAGAAACATAATAGGATGGCCACCTATTTAGGACATTTGCCAAAAACTAACATTTCTCATGGCTACCCAACCATTACTATTCTAAATAATCTTATAAAATATTTAACACAAACAAAAAACTGTAAACTAGCGATTTGGGGGACAGTCTCCATTCACTATCATTTCATTCTCATCAGCCACATTCCCCACATGAAATAATCTAACATCTCACTCTTCAGGGTGGACCACCCCAGCACACAAATGCACACCATAAGCAACACTGTTAAAATTTACATATGTGAACTTATAGCAAAACGCTCCAGTGTGATACTGTGGAAAGTCATTATATGGGGATGGTGTCTGTACCCTTGTGATACTGTCAAAGATTCCTAAAGTATGTACAAAGGAATATTTATTTTTAGCATAAGGTATCCCTTTATTTTCAGATGGGTGCTAACAGTACTATATTCACTGTTTCATCCTTTCCCAAAGTCTATTAGCAAAGAAACAGAAATAAACTATACCATGGGTCATGTTTTCACCATTTCCTATATCATGCCTCTGGACCTTTTACTGCCTCTCCCACCTTCAGAAATACTCTTTATACTTCTACAAAAAGCGAACTAATTCTCTTAATAGGTCTACATTCTTCACATTTAGTAAAATGTCCCAAAAATGTATGCTTTTTCTAAACGCTTTTGTTATAAAAGCTGTTAAAAAAAAAGAACATTATACTTGTCATAGAGAAAGATATTTCTGGTATATCAATAGCAAATCATCATAAATCTGTGATCTTCACTACTCAGTAGCCAGCATTAATATTTTGCAATCTAAATACCAGTTTACCAGGACAAACAAACTTTTCCCATCTTTTATTATCCAAATGTCTATATACACATTCTAAGGACTAATAACATATCATTGAACATGGTGGCTACAAGTACTCCATATTTCCCTAATCCTTCTTTTCCATGTGAGAGCCCTTGAAAGAACAATCAGAACTGCTCTTATACTATGGCTTGAAGTACTTCAGGGTGGATTTATCTGAATAGCTGCTGAGAAATATAGGATTAAAAAAAAAATAACACAATCTTTACCCATCTCACTCCTGCTCCAGTACACAGTTGGGAGGTGCAACAAAAATGAAAAAGGTTGAGCATTACATGAGTGAATGGTTCCATGAATGCATGAGAGAAACAGCACGGAAAAGTCACGTTAGAAGAGTGCAACAGAAAATATTACGAGAGAAAGAATTATTCTAAACATATGAAAAAGTAATGGTACATATTAGAGTTTAGGTACTGAAAGACTAAGGTTCATTCACAGTACAAGGACTGTTTGGAAGAAGGAAGTGAATAAGAAAGCTGCCAAAGCTTACCGAGGGAACTATTTAAGATGGGTAATATTACACTTGGTGCACAACACATTTAATAAGCATTTTAATAATTTTAAAGAAATTATCAAGAAATCTATTATCCTGGAACTAAAAAGAGTGCTGATAAGTTAGGTAATAAAATTTCCTCATACCTTTTATAATTATGCGTATTGAAATTAAATAAGGGAAACACGTCACTCAAGTACCTATTCATGTCATAATAAAACCAAAAATAAACAAACAAAACCAGAAATACCTCTAAGAAGGTCCAACCAAGATAAGTTATTAATATTCTCTGAAAGACATCATCCAACTTTATCTTTGAACTTTTAAGGTATTGATCAAAGTAAAGGAAGTAACATGACTAGAAAATTTTTCAGGATTTTTTCATCAAAAGTGGAGCAACACAAGAGTCTACATAGCATTCACAATTCTATTTTATGCCTTTGACATTAAAATTAGTGATTTCCTAACCTGTCAAACTTAAATCATTACTTTCTCTAAAGAGTATTAAAAAACTTTATACCCTCCAGTCTGAACCAAAATACACAAAACCTCCTCAGAAGACTCTCTCTTTTAAATTTTAATCTATTGCTGCATGATGTCAGTAATGTAGGTTTTGAGCGGGGAGGGTGGTTGTTTTGTTTACAAAAGTTCTTTTCTGTCAAACTCATTCACTGGCATTATAGACAGATATTTTCATAGTTATAAGTATCAAGCCATTTTCTAAGTATGTTATTAGAATAATATTATGTATCTTTACATACAGTACTTAACTGCATGTAATGGAAGTTCATTAAGACATGGAATGAAATTACTATAGTGCTTTTGTTTTTTATTGTTACTTATATATATTTTTTTATTGTCTAAGGAGTTCTGTCAAATAAAAAAAAGCAGAAAAACATTAAAGTTTATTTCTTAAAAATGAGACAAAGGAGAATACTGAAATAACTATGTTTGGGATTGTCAGGATGCATCCTAGAAATGCAATTATTAGCAAATTTTGGTTTTTAAAAAAACTCTTCTTTCAGAGCACAGCTATAGTATAATTCACCTGACCATAACAGGTTAAGATGGGAATCAATGCAATTGCTATACTGATCCTTACTTAAAAACAAGCAAGCAAGCAAGCAAACAAATATATGTTGGAAGCTTACAACTAATCACAGTTCTTCCACTATGGTTCCTGAATTAATTTTACCCAAGTATGCATGCTCATACCATTTTAAAGACATGCATCTTATCTTTACACATATGGCAAGTAATCGTGCATATATGAACAGAGGTGTCATCATAATGAGTAAGACAGATTTAACACTAATATATTAACTCATTTGAAGTTTTCTTGACAATACGTTGCCCATGGACTGGTCATCATAATTAGTCCCTATTTTGCAAAATGGCTTGGTTAGCATTTAAGTCTGAAAATTTAAGTAAAACTACAGCAGGAAAAATGAAAGACCATTAAAGAATAATGATTATTCGGGTTCAGTAATTATAGCAAACAAAGCAAACATTAAATTGAATGAATAACACTGTGCACTCAAAACTACTACTCTCCAATTACCGTTGAAATTCAGGAAGAAAGCACTACCTTCCAGATCTGTGCTGCATTCTCCAAAGGGAAAATATCTCCCTCGTCATTACACCAAGGCTGAGACATATCATAGATTCATAGATGTTAGGGTCAGAAGAGACCTCAATAGATCATCGAGTCCAACCCCCTGCATAGGCAGGAAAGAGGGTTGGGTTCAGATGACCCCAGCCAGATGCCCATCTAACCTCCTCTTGAAGACCCCCAGGGTAGGGGAGAGCACCACCTCCTTTGGGAGCCCATTCCAGATTTTGGCCACTAACTGTGAAGAAGTTCCTCCTAATGTCCAGTCTAAATCTGCTCTCTGCTAGCTTATGGCCATTATTTCTTGTGACCCCCAGGGGCACCTTGTTTAGTAGATCGGCTTGGCTTGAGTTGTGCTCGACTACAGTCCTACCCTAGGCTGCCACGCGAATAAGGCTTAAGCCGACTCTGTGTCCTGGGTCTCCTCAGCCCTAAGTGGGCTCCAGACACTTTTGTGCACTCAGGCACTATTGGGACTTCCCAAACCCAAACCCTGCTACTCCCAAACCCAAGCCACCAGTATAAACTATAACTAGTGTTCCATGTTTTCAGTTTTTATTAAAAAAAAACAACAACAAAAAAACAGGAATTTTTCAGGGTTTATTTTCCAAACATAAAAACCAGGTTGAAATCGGGATAAAAGGAAGAAAAGAAAAAAAAATGGTTTAAATCGGGGCTCCGCTTGTCCCTAACTCACCCCAGCCCCCAGGCTGTGCCATGCCATAGTACAGGCAGATGGCATTGGCTGCTCCTGGGACCACTGCAGCAGGGACTGGGGTGAATGGCAATAAGCAGAGCCCTGGGGGGCACAGGGTGCAATGCAACTTGGCCCCGCTCACCCCAGCCCCTGCTGCGCTGCAGTAACCGATGCCAGCTGCCTGCAGCTGCTGGGCAGTACTGCAGCCCAAACCCCTCAGGGCTTCGCTTGTCTCCACTCACCCCAACTGCTGCTGCAGAAGCCCTAGGAGCAGCCAACATCATGGTACAGCCCAGGGACCGTGGGGAGTGGCGTGCGGCTGGACATGGGGGGGGCCTAACTCCAACCAGTGGCTCCTATCCTGTGGGCCCGTCTGGAGTGGTCGGGTGCAGCGCCCGCCGCAGGGAGCAGGGCCAGGCTCTCCCGCCTGCCCCCTGGCAGGGCTTGCAGCTCTCAGCACCCAGGGCAGGGCCACAGCCAGAGCCACTGGGGTGTAGCTGGGACCCGCCCACCCTGGGAACGATTCATACGGCCCCTCCTGCCCCACCTGGGGTCAGAGCCCGAAGCCCTGCACCACCAGGCAATGGGTCCAGCCACTCTCCCCCAGCTCCCACGTGGCTACCACCCCCTTTTCTGCATGTGGCCACTACCACACCCTGTCCCCTCCATGTCTGGCTGGAAACCTGTGCCTCAGGTAACTGACACCTTTAGCTTATCGGCACCCCCCAGCCATTCCCCACTAGTGCCGGATAACAGGGATTTAACTGTACCCAGTAAAATTGAGTGAACTGAAGAACAGGAGTAAATCAGTAAAAATGGGTATAAAACAGTAAAAACCAAATAACTTCAATTTAAATAATCAGGGAATTTATCAGTGAAAAATCAGGAAAAATTGAAAACACAGAACACTAACTATAACAAAGGAAAAAGCCTCTATCTATAATACCAATTAACTTGCTCTGGGCCCGAACACAAACAGTGGCTATCTGTCTGTACAACAGGCTTCTCTTCATCCTGGGTCACATTCCTGTTTGCCTCCCCTAAGATAGCATCAGCGCCAGCTAAGAGCTCTTGTGGCCCCTCCTGCTCTGGAGCTCCTTCCTTTGTAGCCTCCAGAGTCAGATTGACTATGTAAGCTCAGGCTTTGAGCTTATATACATGCTAAGCCCTGCCCCCTTCCAGTCAAGTGCTTCAGCAGACATCACAGGTGTGTTTATCCTAACCCTGAGGACCTGCCCACTTGCCCTGTGGCTGCTTAGCTGATGTTTGCAGCTCTTAGCCCCTCAGCAGTCTGGCTATTTGTCCCTTGTGTCTGTTACTGCTGGCTTTTGGCTACATCTCAGCTAGCAAGTAGCTAGGTTCCTTAGCTGCTAGCTTTCCCTGACCAGCTCATCCTGTTGCAGCTTCCTCTTAAGTAACAGGAGCCTTTTGGCTCCTTTTTACACTACATGAAATAAATATATTTTATTATTCTGAAAAGTCCTGCACAAAGTACCACTTTTGTTTTCTTTGCTCTTTCAAGCAAAAAATTTTGATCATATACACAAAGAATATATAGATATATAAAAGTACAAACATTAACATACTACCTTGAAATGTAGGAAGGTGCATTTACGATGTTTACACCACTGAGCAAAGTTGGAAAAGGCTCTGAAAAAAAGCAAAAGGTTTCCTTCTTCTTCAGCCCTATAGGAAAAAAAGTATGTAGGTCAATAAGTAGGCCTTGTAACATGCATCTATGAGGAGCATAATTTTTTTCTGCTACAGAATTTAACTGGTTTCTTAAGATTTGATTCTTAAGCCTGGAACTTACAACAGGTTTCAGACTGGAAGAACCCATGCCAAGTCAAAAGGAATCTGAATAACGTTCACAGAAGAACTGAATAGTTTTTCAACCATAACTTTAAGCACTGAGGACACCCCCACACCATAAAAAGTACCTGGGCAATTTTGCATAACTTTGAGATTTTCTGTGCATAATTTTTAGTTTTTAGCTGTGTGATTAACATCGCAATTAATTGAAACTAATTTTTTAATTGTGCAACTAATCACAATCAAATTTTTTAACAGTTTGACAGCCCTACAAAGAATGTTTTTCCAACTACTCAGTTGGTCTAATAAAAGATATCACATCTACCCAAAGAACCTTGCCTACATACGGCCCTAGACCACCATGGCTACAACCCAACCCTGTAATAACTTGATATTCTTTTAGATAGTCCAGTAAGCAGCTCTGCCTCAATTTTTTTTGTTTTTTTTTTTCCAAAAAGTGATTTCTGGGGTATTATGTTGAAAATTAAAAATGGCAAGAGCTATTAGTCAAAGGTGAATAACTGAGATGACAGCCATGCACTACCAAAATCAAAAAGAAAAATGAACAAGACAAGCCCGTGAATGTCATGTGTTAATATTACTGCTTTAACTCTAGGTCTTGTAAGTGTTTTTTTATGTAGTTCTTTTCATATTTTTGAACCCAACTTCTTCCCCCACTTTTGGCAGCTTTAAGAATTCATGAGTAATCTCTCTCTCCTTCTCCTACATTTAGGGATAGAAACAAAATCTCTAGTCACAGCATATTTGGTCTTCAAGATGACAGGTCACCTGACAAGCAACCATTTGTCAATAACTCATTTTTGGCACCATGACATTAGCTGAGGCAATAAACCCAACAATTATCCATCAGTACCAGTATTTTCAACACCCTCTTAAATAATATCACCACCACTTTTGGTTTGATATTTAATTTCATACTCCTAAGATTTTCCATATTGTTAACTGGGCATTCTTATGAGCTTTGCATAACTTGGTGGATCTCTAGACTTGAGGCACCCCTCCAGAAATCTTGTGAATAGTACAGCACCTAATTTCAAAAACTAATTTACTATAATAACTGCTTGAAAAGGGGGCAGGAAGCAGGAAAAGCAGCCAGCATGGCAAAAAGTGTGCTCTGTAGTGAGTAAGGGGAGGAGGAGCAGCAGCTAGAAGGGAAGAAAGAACCTGCACATATTTCCTTACCAAAGCCTGCAGTCATCTTGCTTATGTCCTCTCTCCTGGCAGTACCTTTCAAAGGCTGCCATGGCATCCTGGTTGAGAATCGCTGATAAGAGTAAACTGCATCTTGAGGAAAACTAAATACCATGTTCTCAGTCTCTGCCTGCGTAGTGTTCAACTGATCAAATTTTGCTGTGAAACTAGACTTCCTAAGGAGCAACAAGATCCTTTGTTTGTTAAAAGATGCACTGTAAATTAAAGAGAGATTCTCTCACATCAGCATAAAGTTTCATTGCCTTTATATCTTCCACAAGCACCAGGTGGATACAATCACTGGAACTTCTGTATGCAAAAATGATTACTAAGGAATTAACATAAATACAGAAACTAATTTATGAAGGACTCAACCAAATTAGGATTCCATTGCACTGTCTTTGCAGAAGCACATATAAATAGACCACACTTCTATTCCTGATTAAAACATCAAGAAACTGGTGATTGAACCATTTCAGTTCAATCACTGGCTTTAAAGTTTACACCCATAACAGCACAGTAATAATAACAATTGCTCAAAAATTAATTGAATACAAACAAATGCAACATAAATTTGAGTTCTGACTCAGATTTAATGATGACTTTGAATTTATACTAAGTATGGGATGTGCATGTCTAACTAAGGATAAGACCTCACAGGTAAAATGGACCATAGCTCAAAAAAGCATGAAAGGGATTTTCGTTTTTTAAAGGCAATAAGTGAATTAGCAGAGTGCAAATCACTATTTGGGGTTCTCTTAGATTTCTCATATTTTCCAACCTTAAATAGAATTTATTTCAGGAAGAAAGTTAATCCCACTGAAAGCAACAGATGTCAGTCAGCCAAATGAGACATCACAGTATTTTGCTGCTGGGTCTGTAATTTTCCTTTTGGATTAAGCAGACACTATATACAGTTCTTTGCCAAAAAAGTGCAGCGGCACTGACAAGACCTGCCAGTACCCATACAGCCCATAAACTTCTTATAAGGTGCTTGGCCCTCAAAGGCTTGGAATTAAGCTGCAGGCAAGGAGTAGATACTAGATGGTGTGAGTGGGAGACTGGAAGTGATGACTAGCTAACAAGGTTGGTGCCACAAAGGGCGTAAGAACTCCAAGAGGAAATGCTGAGATGGAGAGGCCAGATAATCATGCTGGGAAAAAGCCAGAGGTAAATCACCCCAGTCCTAACATCCAGAAAGGACAGAAAGTTTTGTTCTTTTTTGTTGTGAATTCACAGTTGTATTGGCAAAGAATAAACTAGCCTGAGAAAATGTGAGCAGAGCTGACTTACCTGTCTAAAGCAGCAGGGTAAGCAACCCCACTTACATTGCTTATGTTCACAAATCTCTCTTTAAAAAGTCTGCTGATATAAAACTATATAAATCATTATGCGTAGATATAAAATCATCTTGGTTTTGATTTGTCTATGTTAAAAATCATAGACAGACTCAGGATCATAGGGTCACAGGAGGGACACCAGCCCACCAACTGTTAGTGCAGACTTAGTTTCATAGTTTCATAGTTGGTAGGGTCGGAAGGGACCTGAGCAGATCATCAAGTCCGACCCCCTGGTAACACGGCCATCCTTAGGGACCCTGTCCCATGACATTGTGACATAGTTTGGGTTGACACGTGTAGTTGATTATAGAACTATTTGGTCTGAGTTTTGTATAGTCTTTAAAAAAACAGTAAAAAATATTAGGGGTGTGCGAAGCGGGCCCTATTTGATTTGGATTTGGCCCAAATCAGGGACGGTAATTCAATTAATTGATTCAGATCATTGTCCCTGATTCAATTCAGCTGAATCCAAATCTGAAGATTGATGCTGATTTAGAGAATCAGCGATTTGGACATAGACACAGCTTTTAAAGTTTTTTCTACATACCTTGAAGTAGCAGGCATGGCTCATGATCGCTGTAATGCTGGGGTGGATGGAGTGTCACACAGGAGTGCAGGGGGGCCCTTCATGTGCTTGGTGGCGAACCCGGAAGTGGACCAGAAGTATTTATGGTTCACTTCTGAGTCTGCTGGGGAGCACACTGGGGACCCCCCCCCCATGCCCTGCTGGCTCAGCGATCAGCCACAGGGGGACCCTATGTGCCCCCCTGCCTCAGACCCAGGAGGCACCAGTTGCTGAGCTGGGGGGATGCGGGGGGATGGGGAGGGGCCTTCACCTGCTCCCCAGCAGACCTGGAAGTGGACTGGAAGTTCTTCTGGTCCACTTCCAGCTTTGCTGCTGAGCATGCTGGGGAGCCCCCCCGTGCTTCTGTGGGACACTCCACGTGCCCCAGCATCACAGCATTCACAAGCCCCTGCTACCTAGAGGTATGTAGAAAAAACATTTAAAGCTGTCTCTATGTCTGAATCTGTGAATCTTTCTGCGTCTCTATTCCTAGACACAGACCAAGACAAATCTTCCAGTTGGATTGTGGATAGCCACAGGAGGGACACTAGCCCACCAACTGCTAGCACAGACTTAGTGAAGGGGCACTTGGAGGGAATGGATGTGTTCAAATCAGCGGGCCCAGATAAACTTCACCCAAAGGTACTGAAGGACTTGGCAAATGTCATAGCAGAGCCACTGGTATGGCTGTTCGAGCACTCATGGTACTCTGGTCAGGTCCCAGAGGACTGGAAAAGGGTCAATGTGGTCCCAATTTTCAAGAAGGGGAGGAGGGAGGAACCAGGAAACTATAGGCCAGTTTGTCTCACCTCCATCCTTGGGAAAACTCTGGAAAAAATCATTAAGGATCACATTCGTGGGAGCCCAGCAGGGGAAATAATGCTGAAAGGTAATCAGCACAGGTTCACTGCAGATAGATCCTGCCTGATTAACCTTGTTTCTTGTTATGACCAGGTCACAAAATGCTTAGATGCAGGAGTTGAGGTAGATGTAATCTACCTACACTTTAAGAAAGCCTTCGATATGGTATCACATTGTTCTTGTAAATAAACTGACAGACTGTGATGTAGATGATTACATGGTCAGGTGGGTGGCAAATTGGCTTAGGGGTCACACCCAGAGAGTGGTGGTGGACGGATCGATATTGACCTGGAAAGATGTGGGCAGTGGAGTCCCACAAGACTCAGTCCTTGGACTGGTGCTATTTAATATCTTCATCAGTGACTTGGACGACGGTGTAGAGAGCACCCTGTCCAAGTTTGCAGATGATACCAAATTATGGGGCAAAGTTAACACACCAGAGGGTAGGGAACAGATCCAGGTGGATCTGGACAACTTAGAAAAATGGGCAGAATGAAATAGGATGCAGTTCAACAAAGACAAGTACAAAGTGCTGTACCTGGGCAAAAAGAACCACCAACATACTTACAGGCTGCAGGGTGACCTTCTCAGCAGCACAGCGGCGGAAAGGGATCTCGGAGTCATAGTTGACTTCAAGATGAACATGAGTTGTCAATGTGACGAAGTGATCAATAAGGCTAACCGCACTTTATCATGCATTAGCAGATATGTGACAAACAGGTGCAGAGATGTGATGCTTCTCCTCTATGAGGCACTGGTCAGACTGCAGTTGGAGTACTGCATCCAGTTTTGGGCACCGTACTTCAAGAGGGATGCAGAGAATCTTAAGAGGGTTCAGAGAAGGGCCACTCATATGGTCAGAGGTCTGCAGGCAAGGCTCTACGAGGAGAGACTGA